CCTTACCTTGATTGTTTGAGACAAGGCCTCTCACTGAAGCCAGCACTCACCAGTTGGCAGTCACAGTGCCTTTTTTTTTTTTAGACCAAGTCTTGACTTTTATTACTTAAAAAAGCTGCACATTTATTTTGCTTTTTAACTGTGTGCTTGTGCCTTCAACACTTTCAACAATGATTTTCTGCTCCTCAATAAGGAAAGCCCGCTTGATCCTGCCACACACACACACACACACTCACACGGAACCACCTACATAGGCCCTGCTCATGTCTTAGACAATCTCATAAGGACTTTAGGCCTCACAACACGAACCCTTGAAGTCTACCTGGGTACACATCGCATGCAGATTTAGGTGCTTTTCCAGCCTTCTTGGTGTACAGGTGAACAATCCTGTTGCCTGGGGTTCGAGACAGCCTAGTTTCGTTAGAGGCTGTATTGTAGAAGGGCCTACGACGCTATGTCAAACGCTGGACCATCCCCGGAAGAGGGCCGCAGCCGGCTTTTTATGCAGGTGCGGTGGAGCTGGGCTCAAGGCCTGCATGCTGGCACATTCGTTGTAGGCATTGTACTGAGGGAGCCATCTCCATGGTCCCCTTTCTGTTTTTGGTTGGTTGGTTAGTTGGTTGGCTAGCTGTGGTGGTACAAACCTATAATCCAAACAGTCAGGAGGCTGAAGCGAGAGGATTGCAAAGCTATCCTGTGCCACATAGTGAGGGTCTGTCTCAATTTTTTTTTTTTTAATTTTTAGTTAAAAAAGAAAAGGAAAATATTTCCCAAGGCAGATTTCCTTGACAAACCCCACACCCCAGCTTCCTTCTTTGTTGTCTCTCTTCTGTTCCCTTGTGTACTAGTCTGGCTGTCTCCCCTGTTCATGTTATGGCACTGGAATCTTTTTTAATGTTTCATGAGGTTGGTGGCCCCTTGCTACACAAACCACACAGTGGCTCCTCCATAATCACTTGGAGTTTTGCTTTGACATTTGGTTCTATATTTTTCTTTTAAGACATGCTCTCACTGTGTAGCCCTGGCTGGCCTCAGATTTGTTGTAGCTGAAGATGAGCCTTGAGACCTTGAACTTCTGTGCGTCTACCTCCACAGTATTACAGATGTGTGCTACCATGTGTGATTTATGCAGTGCTGGGCTTTGAACCCAGGGCCCCTTGCATGCTTGGTAATCACTCTACCAACTGAGCTTCATTCCTAATTGCTTGTTAAAAGAACAAATGAATGAATGAATTTCCTCTAGGGACTTGGGCTTCAGTTTCCCCAGGTGAGAGAGGATGTGGCTGTTTCAGTCCTTTCCTGACTCTGGCATGTTACCATTCCTGGTTTTGGCAAGATTCATGGGGCTGATTTGGGCTTTTGTTTGTTTGTTTGTTTTTGTTTTGTTTTATTTTGTTTTTGTCCTGAAGTGCTAAGGAAGAGGGCTTCTGAGGACCCTGAGGGACACCTGAGGAAGGTGTGTCTCTGATTTTGAGGCCCACCCACTGAGATGTCATAACACGGCCCGGGTGGTAGCTCAGCTCAGCATTTGGCAGGTGGCAGTTGCTAGTTGGAAATGACCCCCCAGGAAATGGAAATGGCCAGACATTTCCTGGAGGCCTGTGCCACTTGGCTTCCTGGCAGAGGAAGGAACATTCCTCTCATCCTGGCCAAGGACTATCTCCATCTGCTCCAGGAAGAGCCTGGTGGCTCCATTGGGTGCCCTGGAGTGAGGGGGCCTCCGGGCGGGGCAGACCTTGTGACTCCTGGGGAGGAGCCAGGCTAGGCCAGGACTGTTGGCATTTTGTCAAACACAAGCAGCTTTGTAGGAAGGTCCTCTTCAATCCTGTGTTCCGATCCCCGCCCCTCCTTGCAGAGGCCTCGTCCTGGGGGAATTACACAACCGAGCAGAGTTACTTGGTGCCTGGTGCCTGCTGGGTTTAAGGCAATTTCAGTACAGTCTGTTATGCTACACCATTGTCTTTATGTTTAATTTTCTGCTAGAGAAAATGTTGGTAGCTTCATTAGGTTTTTGCAGGGTCTCTGGTCCCCCAATTCAGAATACTGGCTTAGATTTGTAGGGACGGGGCAAGATCCTTCCATATAGCCTTCCTGGCCTTTGTTCACTTCTTCCCTAGACCTGGGTGGGCCTGCCTGCCTGTCCTTCACAGACAGCCCTTGCCCGGGTCTGAGTGCTTCTGTTCTCCTTCCTTCAGTCCTTGAAGGCCAAGCTTGCGTCAGAGGCAGTGGCGAGGGAGGCCCAGGCCAGACACCGGCTGGCCAAGGAGACTTGATTAAAAGCAGCTTTGTTGGGGGTGGATGGCTTGGTGTCCTTGGCCTGGAGTAGAGATCGATAAGCAATTGTTTTTCTGTTGGCAAGAAAAAAAAAATCTCCATTGACTTTCGCAGGCACTGCCAAGTCTGGTTTTCTTTTCAGGAACACTTGTAGCCTTAACAGAAGTGGCTCTGAGACGAAGGACAGGTTGCCTTCCCTGGGGGTGGCTGGGCCAGGGTTGTGGAATATGTGGACCACAAGGACTGTAGTCACTTGGGAACATTCTGGAACACAGTCCCACTGTGAACAGCTTTTTAGCACTTCGGTCATGTATTCGAGTGTATGGCTCATCTCCCCCTGACTGTCCTGAAGGTGTCCATCTTAAAGATGAGGAAACTGAGGCAGAAAAAGCTTAAGGCAAGCTAGACAAAGGATAAGCCCAAGCTGTGGACTCCAGGGTGCTACATACCTCGTATGAAAGATGAGGATCACAAAACGATGTTCTGTAAAGTTGCAGAGAGTGGGCCTTGGATAGAATGACTGACCCATCCACAGGAAGCCAAGGCAGGCGTGCAGCTCGTGACAAATGACATTTTCCCCGTTGTGCTAAGGTGTGGCCTACCTGCTCCCGTCATGGCTGTTTACTTTCTTCTGGAGAGTCATCTTGGGGCCTGGAAAGATGGCTCAGCAGTTAAGTGTTCCTCCCATGTTTGCACAGGACCTGAGTTCAGTTCACAGCTCCCAAGTCTGGGGCTCACAACCACCTGTTTCTCCAGCTACTGGGGATCTCATGTCCTTTTTGCTCTCCATGACGCCTGCACTCTTGTGGCACAGACACAGACACACACACGTAAAGATTATATATATAATAAGCACACAGTGAAAATGAGCCACAGTCGCCATTTTTACATGTACAGTTCAGCGGCATTAAGCATGTCCTCTGTGTTGGGCCCCTCCCTTTACTCAGGACTTCCTCACTCTCCTCTGCCCTTAATCCTTCTCACCAGTACACCACTTTCTTTCCTGCCTACCAATGAGTGCCTACCAATGACAGGAGATACTGGCCAGGTAGGAATTCCGTACTTAGCTTTCTGAGGAAGTATCAGCTGCTCCTTGTTTCAGTGTATGCTTTTTCGTCCTGTAAACCAGGCTGAGCATCTTCACATGGTTGATTTTGTTGTGGTTCTTTTGTGTGTGGTATATGCATGTGTGTGTGTGTGTGTGTGTGTCTGCGTGTCTGCGTGTCTGCATTCAGAGGCCAGAAGAGGACATTGGGTGTCCTGCTCCATCACTCTCCACCTTATTTCCTTGGGACAGGCTCATTCACCAACCCTAGAGCTAGGCTGGCAGCCAGCAAGCCTCAGCAAGCCCCCTGTCTCTGCCTCAGAGTGCTGGGGTCCCAAGTGCCCCTAGGTCACACCCAGCTTTTAATGTGCATGCTGGGGTTTGCACTCAGGCTCTCACACTTGTACAGCCTGCACTCCTACTCAGTGAACTATCTCCCCAGCTCTTTGTTGTTGTTGTTGTTTTTAAAATAAATTTCACACAATCTATTTTCATCACCCAACCAACTTTATGTTCTTTTTCTCCCTCTCAAAACAAATAAAACAAACCAACCACACAAGAAAAACCCACCACTTTTTTTTTTTTTTTTAAATTATGAATGGTGTTCATAATTAAACTGAGAATGCCGGGGCTTTTCTGATTGGAGGATCCCAAGCTTCTTGCTGGCATAGTAGATGTTTTACAAATACTTCTGAAAGGCAACATTTCTGTACTTCGGCTGGGTCCTCCAAGCAGCCCCAACTCGAGCCTCTTCCTCCCAAGGTCCTCTATCGTTGTGGCCCATTTTCTTTCCTCAGCTCTCTGCTAGCCCAGCACCTAAAGAGGCCCTCCCTGATGAACAAACAGCTGCCACCCCTTTGTGGGTACACTTACCTAACTCAGCCACCTGTGACATTTGTGCACCAGAATTTGTCAAACACATGAGCCAAAGGTTAATATTCTGTCCCAGAGATGGTGGGAATTGACAGCCTGAAGGCATGTGTCAGTCTCTCCCCACCTCTCTCTCGAACTGTTATAAAGAGTCACATGTGGCTGGATATGGTGGCACGCCTTTAATCCCAGCGCTTGGGAGGCAGAGGCAGGCAGATCTCTGTGAGTTGGAAGCCAGCCTGGTCTACAGAGTGAGTTCCAGGACAGCCAGAGCTACACAGAGAAAACCTGTCTCAAAGAACAAAAAGTTCACATGGCATAAAATTAATTTTTTTTGTGGGGGGGGGAGGGGTGGGGACGCAGTGCTGGAGTAGAACCAAATGCTTCTCAAATCCTAGTTAGGAGCTTTGTTGCAAGCAGCAAGCTGCGCCCCTTATCCCTCTAATTAACCTTTTTTTTTTTTTTTTTTTTTTTTTTGGCTTTTAAATCTGAGACAGGGTCTCACTATGTAACTCTGGCTTGGCTGGTGTTTATTATGTAGACGAGGATGACCTGAAACTCACAAGTCCTCCTGCCTCTATCCCTGGAGTGCTGGAAATAAAGGTGTGTGCTACCACACCTGGCAGATTAACAGTTTTAAGATTATTGCATTTAGTACAAACACGGGACTGTGAAATCACCACTTCTCTGGTTCCACGACATTTTCACCAAGAGGAAACCCTGCACCCATTAAGCAGTCACTGCATTGCCCTCAGAGCAATCTGTAGTCCTAGGTAACCGCTAATCTTTCTGTCTCTGTGGATTTGCCTAGTATGGAAATTCCATTTCCATGGAATTATGCAATCCAGGGCCTCTTGGGACTGGCCGTGCACTTGGCAGAATGCTTTCACCTGAGTCGTAGCCATTGTCAATGCTTCTGGCCTTTTGGTGCTTATCTATTCATCTGCTGACTCCACTCCTCTCAGCTACAATGACAAGAGCTGTATGGGAAGTCTCTAACTTTTTGAGGAACCAGCCACAGGCAGCCATCTTGGTTTCTTAGGTAAGTGCTGGGCTTTTGAAGTCGAGTTCTCCTACTTTTAGGGCGGTCACTCTTGCCACTGTTTTGAGACAAGGTCTCAATCTGTAGCCTGGGCCAGCCTGCAGCCCCACCTGCTTACCCCGCACGTCCTTCGTGCTGCTTATGTCATCTTACTAGTCCATGGGAGAAGTCTGTCTCTGTCTTTACAGACACAGACTAAATCTAAAAAAAGTGTATGTGTGTGTGTGTGTGTGTGTGTGTGTGTGTGTGTGTGTATGAGAGAGAGAGTCATGTGCCTCTCTGAGTCCTCTGCAAGAGCAGTAGATGTTCTTTCTTTCTTTCAAAATGTCTTTCGTTTTTAAAAATGTATTTATTTTTATTTTATATGAATTGGGGTTCTCCATGTGTATGTGTGAGGATGTCACATCCCCTCGAACTGCCATCTGGTGCTGGGGAGATGGCTGAGCAATGAAAAATACTCGCTTTTCTTCCAAAAGACCCAGGTTCAGTTCCCAGCACCCAGATAATTTTACTAATAAGAAAAAGCTAAGAGGGCAATTTAGCGACACCACGGACAGCAAGCCAAGTTTGAGCCCCAGCACCCGTGTGGCAGCACATACTCATGAGCTCCGAGCTGGAAACATGGTTTGCTCAACAGCCAGCCTGCCTAATTGGAGACCCCACCCCAACCCCAACCGCCGGAGCCAGGTTCTAGTGAGAAACCAAAAGCAAGGTTGAGGGCTGGAGAGGTGGCTCATTGGTTAAGAGGACCTGTGTTCAGTTCCCTGTACTTGCCTGGCACCTCACAACCACCCATAATTCCAGCTCCTATGATCCAGGCCTTCTTCTGGTCTCTGTGGGCACCTATCAGGCATGTGGTGCACATACATGCATATACACAGCGAAACACCCACACACAGAACAAATAATTTTAAAAATTAAAAAACCAGCCGGGCGGTGGTGGCACACGCCTTTAATCCCAGAATCTATGAAGCAGAGACTGGCAGATCTCTGTGATTTCGAGGCCAACCTGGTCTAGAGAGTATGTTCCAGGACAGCCAGGGCTACACAGAGAAACCCTGTCTCAGAAACCAAAAATTAATAAATTAATTAAAAAAAAAAAAAAACAAAAAACCCCCCACCACTACCACCAAAAACCAAAGTGGGAAAGTTCCTGATCAATGACAACTGAGGTTGACTTCTGACACACATGTGAATCCATACACATGTCAAACATACAAAATCAAGAGACCTCACTTAATAGTCGCTTTCTCTGTGTGTCTCTCCCTCTTTCTGTGAGGGCCTGGCTGTTCTGGAACTTGCTATGCAGACCAAGCTGGCTTCAGACTCAGAGATCTGTCTGCCTCTGTCTCTGGGATTAAAGGCGTGTGGCACTATGCCTGGCTCACTTTTTTTTTTTTCTTGAAGACAGTGACTCTTTTATTCCAAGCTGACCTCCAACTCCATTATGTAGCTAAGTAAATGACCTTGAATTTCTGATCCTCTGCCTCTCCCTCTTCTGAAAGGACTGTAGGCTGCACCACCATGCCAGGGATTGAACCCAGGACTTTTTGTTTGGTTTGGTTGGGTTGGGTTTTTTTTGAGACAGGGTTTCTCTGTGTAGCCCTGGCTGTTCTGGTACTTGATCTGTAGACCCAGCTGTCCACGAACTCACAGAGATTCACTTGTCTCTGCCCCCTGGGATTAAAGGATTGTGCCACCATTGCCTGGCTTGCTTTTTTTTTTTTTTTTTTAAACTTAAAAAAGAGTTATTTTATGTGAATATTTTTGCTTATGTATGTGTCTGTGCACCACCTGTATGTGCCTGATGTCCTTGGAAGTCAGAAGAGGCATGAGTTCCCCTTGGAATTGGAGATACTGATGGTGTTACCCACTGTGTGGGTGCAGTATTGGGAGTCAAACCCAGGTCCTTCTAAAGACTAGCATGTTCCTTAACCACTTGGCCATCTCTCCAACTTTCAAAGAACATATTTTTGCATAGACTGGGAGTGTGTGTGTGGAAGAGTATTTTCTTTTTTCAAAGATAAGTCTTGTGCAGTCCGGACAGACTTTAACTCCTGTTTCCACCTTCTGAGAGCTGGGATTCTAGACAGGCAGCACCACAGCTGGCTACAAATTTATTTTTTGTTTCTTTTGAGGCAGTCCTGCTCCATAGCTCAGGCTAACCTGGAGTTTACTATGTAGCCCAGGCCAGCTTTAACTCCTAGTTATACTCCTGCCTTACCCAAGTGCTACATCAGCATTCTGGCTGCAAGATGTTTTTGAGGATGTTACATGTATGCACAAATCAGACACTAGCCTGGCTGAGAAGAGTGACTCCTCGCTCTATCCTGCCTGGCTGACCTTCTTTCTCTCTTTCGCAGGCAGCTCTGCTGCCCATGGAAGTGCCCCGGCCTGGCTGATGAAGTCGGTACACACACCATGTCATCATGGGTCTCTAGCCAGCCCACCAGCGACCGGGCGGCCTCCCAGGATGAGTTGGGAAGTGGGCGTGGCAGCCAGGAAGGCCAGAAGCCCTGTGAGGCCCTTCGGGGACTCTCTTCCTTAAGCATCCACTTGGGCATGGAATCCTTCATTGTGGTCACTGAGTGTGAGCCAGGCCCGGACGTGGACCTCAGCCTGGCCCAGGACCAGCCTCTGGAGGCCGATGGCCAGGAACTCCCCCTCCATGCCTCAGAATCTGAGTCACGGCCCCTGCTCTCTGGTCGAAAGATGTCCCTGCAGGAGCGGTCTCAGGGAGGGCCAGCACCCAGCAGCAGCTTGGACATGAATGGACGCTGCATCTGCCCATCCCTGTCCTACTCGCCGTCCAGCTCCCCACAGTCCTCGCCCCGGACGCCCCGGCGCCCCACAGTGGAGTCACACCACGTCTCCATCACAGGTTTGCAGGTTGGTGCCGCATGAGCTGTGATGGGGGTAGGTGGGGACGGGAAGATGGGTTGGCGGACAGTGGAGGCCACAGACTGGAGATGAAGTCTCAAAAGAAACAAAACAAACACCCCTTCACATTTTGACGGCACAAACGTTATTTTTTTCTCTGTGACTACTCCTGGGAAAGCAGCCGTACCCTCAGTCAAGGTAGAGGGCATTTCCTGTGGTCTGGGCAGCCGTCTGTCCGTTGTGCTCCTTCCCCAGTAGCTGCTGAACTAAGTTGGTCTCTGTTCTTTGAGCTAGGATCTCACTAGGTAGCCCAGGCTGGCTTTGAACTTTCCATGACCCTCTTTCCTCAGCTTCTTGAATGCTGCAACTACAGGTGTGTGCTGCCACTCAAGGTATTCTGAACTGCTTTTTGCAGTGTTTTAGATTAGTGTGCAAGTTCTGGGGCTTTATGTAAGCAGGTTCATTGCCCATGCGCTCTTTTTTAGCTCAGTTTCTTCTCCAGCGTAATGGATTTGAGATTTATTCGTGTCGCTGGATAGATACACTCTTGGCCCCGATAGCTACAGATCCGGCCAACCTTGAGAATATTCAGAAGGAAAAAAATTGTAACTGTATGAGGCTGTCCAGGCTATTTTTTCTTGTGATTAAATGATAATTTAAGTAGTTACTGCCTCTAAGCACAGTAAAAGCAGTGAATTGAATGACTTACATAACAGTGACATTGTATTAAATATATAAGGAGCTTGAGAATGATTTAAAGTGTGTGTGTGGAATAGGAGAGTGGCTCAGTGGAAGAGGGATGCTGCTCTTGCAGAGGACCTGAGTTCTATTCCCAGCACTGCCATGGAAGCTTACAGTTACCTTTAACTCCAACTCCAGAGGATCTGATACCATTTTCTGACCTGTGGGGACACCTTCCAAGACACACACAAATACAGAGAAAATAAAATATGTGAGGGAAGAGAGCTGGGAATGCTGGGGGGACATACCTGTAATTCCAGAACTCAGGAGGCAGAGACAAGAGGATCATTACAAGTTCAATTCCAGCTTGGTTTATGTAGTGAGTTCAGGCCAGAAGGGCTGTCTCAACTTCCTAGTGCCAAAATGTTTGTGAGAGAGGCAGTGTGAAAGTTACACTCTGTGCGGAATAGCACCATGCCACTTTCTCTGAGGGACTTGAGCTCATGCATGCTTGCTATCTTGCAGCGTTCTGCAACCAGTCCTTGCAGACACTGAGGGACATGTGGATTAGAAGCTGATTTATTTTACCTATCACTTACTTTTTTTCTGGGGGGGGGGGACAAGATTTCATTGTATCCTGGCTAGCCGCAACCTCACCTGCCTCTCCCTCCTGAGTACTAGGGTTAAAGGCTCGTGTCACTATGCCTTGCTGTTGTTAGTTCCTTTTAATTCTGAATCATCTTCATTTCTCTTGGGTAATCCTAGAAGCAGAATGGAGGGTCCTACGGAACATTCATGTTAAACAACTGGTGGGCTGAGGCTGTGGCTCAGCCGGTAGAATGCTTACTTAGCATGTACAGAGCCCTGAGTTCAACCCCCAGCACCTCATGATGATGGACTTCTGTAATCCCAGGAGATGAGGCAGTTCTCAGCTAAGTGTCAGGCTTTTCTAACAGGGCATCTTTTATTTATTCTTTGACAATCTCATACATGTCAACATTGTATCAATGTTGTATTTTAGTCATATCTCCTCTTCCACTCCTTCCATACACTCTAACACATGCCCTTGTCCCCTTCATGGCCTCCCTCTCTCGGGGTGGGGGACGTGGTGGGTACTCATTAAGTCCATTTAGTGCTACCTTTTGGAATACTGACTGATCTTATTGGTTGATGTTGTATAGGTGACCATCACTGCAGTGAGTTCATGAGCACATGGTCATGTCATATCCTAAAGAGAGCATCCCGCAGTCCTCCTCGCTGTCCTCTGGCTCTTGCGTTGTTTTCTGTCCCCCTGTGAGATATTCTCTGACCCTTGGTGGAGAAGAGTGGTGTACATGCCCCATTCAGGGCTGCTTATACTCAACAGTCACTTACTCTCGGCACTCAGACCAGTTATGAGTCTGTATTCACTGCTGCCGACTGCAGGGAGAAGCTCTCATCTATGGGAATAAGCATAAATATTAGAAGGCAGCTTGACAACATTTAACAAGACAATGGTAGAAGGTTCCTGCGTAGGACCTGTGGCTCCCACAGCTGGGAGCTATCAGCCAGGTTTGCATTGTCAAGCTGCTTGTGGAGCAGGCCTCAAATCTAAGCAGAAAGCATGGGTTTCCTTCACAACGTTTGTGTCACCGTTTTATCAGGGGGCACACCTTGCCTGACAGGTTGGTATAACAGCATGCAGGGCTGCTGGGTGACACCACTGATGACTCTTCTCTTCTGCTGGTCTGCATGGCACTTTCAGGCACTGTGAGGAAGTTACAGCTTGGTTTCTCCGTGTCTTTAACTAAGGTGTGTTGTGTGTTTCAGTAGCAGTTTTACTGTCTACCTATAGTGGGCAACCAAGGGCATGGTAATAGCCTGTACTGTCTTGGGGGCCTGCTGGGGTGTCTCTGACCTGTAGCTTGTAGGGAGGCAGTACTAAGATTTTCGTTCGGTGACCGACAGTTTCTGGGGTATTGTCTACCATGCAAGGCTACTTTCATTCAAACTTCTGTTGTTTTTTGAGACAGGGTTTCTCTGTGTAGCCTCAGCTGTCCTGGAACTCGCTTTGTAGACCAGGCTGACCTTGAACTCACAGAGGTCCGCCCTGCCTCTGCCTCGCAAGTGCTGGGATCACAGGTGTGTGCCGCCACCACCGGGCTGCAAACTACTTCTGAATGCTGTGTCTCTTTCTTTCTGACACAGGACTTGAGCTGTGTAGCCCAGGATGGGCTGAGGAGGTAGCTTAGTGGTAAAGTGTGTAGTGTGCACAAGGCCCTGAGTTTGACCCCTAGTGCCTCCCTTAATAATAAACATATATAATATATATGCCCTTTTATGTTTGTGTGTGTACATGTGTTCATATATGCACTGGTGCACATGTGTGTGAGTGCAGGTAGAAAAGAGATCACCCTGCCGTGAAGGTACAGATGAGAGCCATCTTGTTGTTATAAGAACAGTCTCTCGCTGGGCCCTAGAGTTTGTTGATAGCCTGCCTGTTCAGGGAGCCCCAGGGATCTGCCTGTCTGCCCCTCCCCACAGCTGGGACTACAGGTGTGCACCGCTACACCCGCCTTTCCACGTAGGTCCTCATGCTGTACGGCAGACACTTCCTGAGCCCTCTCCCCATCCTAACGTGTACTCTCTCTTCTTTTGGGGGCAGGGGTTGGGATGTTCCTTGCTTTTGTTGTCGTTACTGTTTTGGTTTCTGAAACAGGGTCCTACATAGCTCAGGTTGCCTTCAAGCTTGCTGAGGAGCCAGTGCTGGCCTTGAAGTCTGGATTCTCCTGCCTCAGCCTCCTGCCTGCTGGAACCGCCTGTGGCCTGGAGTCCTGGTAACGGCGTCTGTCACGCCTCCATTGCTCCTGTGAGAGTCGTCTTACTTGTGCCCTTCCTTGCTTTCCAGGACTGTGTGCAGCTGAATCAGTATACCCTGAAGGATGAAATTGGAAAGGTAAATGTCCCAGGAGCCGGGCCACCTTTGTACCTTGACCAGGGATGTCTGTGACACTCCAGAGGGAACCGTAGAGCTGGAAAGAAAAGAGGGACTCTGGGAGGCAAGGCTGGTGGGGTGAAAGGGTTTTGTTATTAATAGTTGTGTGTAGGCACTCGTGCGTGCTTGCAAGCCCCCGTGGGTGCGTGCCAGTGTGCGTATGCGTGTGTGGGTGTGTGTATGTGCATACAGGAGTGTGTGTGTGCCTATGTGTGCATCAGTACCTCTTCCACCTTATTCTTTGAGACATGGTCTCTGACTGAACCTGAAGCTCATAGACTCTTCCTGACTAGCTGGCCAGCAAGGCGTTCTGTTGTTGCCTACCCCGACCCAGCACTGGAATTACGGGTGTGTGCTACCACGCCTGGCTTTTTACGTCAGTGCTAGGGATTTGAACTCACATGTTTGTGCTTGTGCAGCCAGCATTTTACCTAGTGAGCCATCTTACCAACCTTTTTTTTTTTAAAAATACCCTTTGAGACAGGGTCTCACTCTGTAGTCCTGGCAAGTCTGGGACTCACTGTGTAGACCAGGAGTGCTCAGACTAACAGAGATCCACCTTTCTCTGCCTTCCAAGAGCTGGAATGAGAAGTGTGCACCCCCACACCTAGCCTCTTTCATTTATTTTAAATTTAATATTAAAATGAGCTGTGTGTCTACAGTTGAAGAAACTTCCAGAGAAGTCCTGTGTTGCCATGGTGATAGTCCCCATCACATCAACGGTGTTCCCCTTGCCCATCTGTTTTCTTGTTTGTTTTTGTTAGCACTGTTGCGGGGGCTAAAACTCAAACACTAAGAGAAGATAAGTCAGTAACATCACTGGCCAAAGTATGCTAAGTGTAAGACCATAGGGAGTGGTGAGGACTGAAGCTAACCGTTAAGCGATGGAGTGAGGATCCCATGAGTGAAGCAGCCTGGGTATGAGACCTGAGTGCCGTGATGAGGCCTGTGATGAGGCCTGTGATGAGCTGTTTTTATGGAAATAAAGTCTACATATGGCCAGACATTCCAGGTTTTTCAAGCCTGGGTTTTTATGTTAATTCTTCCCAGCTAATTTAGGCTACAAAAATCATAAGTCTGACAGAATGCAGTCTCAAGTATGTTTGCCCAGTCTATGGGCTGTCAGAGCCCTCATCTCAGAGTGTGGCTTCTAGCTAGTACATCACCGGCATCTCTCTTTATCAGGGCTCCTATGGTGTGGTCAAGCTGGCCTACAATGAAAATGACAATACTTACTACGTGAGTATCCCCATCCAGACGAAAGCTTCTTTCCTGGCAGCCAGCCCCGAGCAGTGTGGGCACTTGTTCTCCTGTCCTACTCTTAGGTCATTTAGAAGGAAGCAATGTCCCATTTTACAGATGTCCTAGTGAGTGTTTTTCGTACCCTTGCTCTGAGCTGCCCTTCCTGCCCCTTCCATATCCCCCAAAGAAGACAATAGATACGAATAATGCCCTTCCTTGTAGCTGAGGCTTTGGAGTCAGCCCAGTATAGGTTCAAACCCTGGTTGTGACATGTATGAGAAGCATGACTTTGGGCAAGCAGCCATCATACCCTTCCTTGGCCCCACTGGTCTGGCCCATTTGTCTGACTCAGTGGCAGTGAGCTTAGGGGTTCCCAGCTGGGTCTACTGACCAGGAAACTCGGAAGTCCTTCAGGGTTGGCCCTGGCACGACTCCCGGAGGTTTGTCTTCACATAGCCCAGGACCAGCTAGCTCCTGCTGGTGATGAGGCTCTCCCTGCTTTGTCCTGAGGCAACAAGGGACTGGGAGCTCAGTGAGAGGCTTGGAGAGAAGAGAGCCTACTCATCTTCTTCCCTTCCACCTTTAACTGGATTTGGGGGTCTGTCCTTCTGCAGGCAATGAAAGTGCTGTCCAAAAAGAAGCTGATCCGGCAGGCTGGTTTTCCACGTGAGTGTTGGGGGCCTTTGTTCTAAGGTGTGGGCACTCCGTCAGGATGGGAGAGTGCCAGGTGAATGGGATATTCCGCAGAGAGACCCTGGGGAGACATCGCATTCCACACAGGGCTTCCGCTGAGAGCAGTGCTGAGCTGCTTGCTGTGGGTCCTAATTTGTTTTTACTTAAAAGTTTTAAAAGCTGAGTTTGAGGGCTGGAGAGATGGCTCAGCAGTAAAGGCACTTGCCACCAAGCCTGATGACCTGAATTTGATTCCCAGGGCCCACAGGGGAGGAGAGAACTGACTCCTACAAGTTGTCCTCTGTCCTCCACGTTCATTCTGGGGCATATACATGCCAGAATAAATAAACAATTAAGAAGCTGAACATGGAGTTACCATATGTCTGTTCCTTTTCCTGGTGTCCTGATAAAGCACTAACAAAACCAATTTAAGGATGAAATGGTTTACTTGGCTGGTGTTTGGGACTTCAGAGGCAGGAGCCCGAGGCAACTGATTACACTGTATCCACAGTCGGGAGCAGAGAGGAATGAACTCAAATGTTTAGCGGCCTTTCTCCCCTTCCATGCTCCAAGATCCCCAGCCAGGGAATGGTGCCACCTCCGGTGGGCAAGGCTTCCCACCTCAATTAGTGCCACCAAAATAACCCTCCAGAAGCTGTCTCTCAGGTGATTGAAGATTCTTTCTACCTATCAATCAGTATGCCTTAGGACACAGCAGCTTCTCTCTAGTGTCCAAGAGAATGAAAAATACACAAAGCTTGCTTGTGCGTGTGGCTAGCAGCACTATTCACAGTATCTGCTGAGTGAAAAGAACTCTAGTGGCCTTGCACAGATGAGTAAGATGCGTGTGCAAATGGTGTATTAGCATGCAGCCACCAATAGTCGTTTTGCTATTATGTGGGTGAAAGCATGCTAAGTGAAAGAGACCAGACACAAAAAGTCACTTACTATATAATGCCATTGATATAAAGTATCAAGAATAGGCAGATCCATGAGAAAGAAGCAGGTCAGTGGGGGCAAGAATCAGACTTTTGGAAAGAGCAACAAAAATGTTCTGCATTCACCCAGTGGTGATGGTACTAAAAATACTAAAAACTACTAAAAGAATCAGCATGCATGGGGCACATGCCTGTTACCCTAGCACTCAGGAAGTGGAAGATCGATCAGGGATACAAGGCCAGCCACAGCTATGAGACCCTCTTCCATAAAACCACGCATATGAGAAAGAAGAATAATTAAAAACAAAAAACCAATGAGCCATTAAAACACATTTTAAATGTTGAATATTTTTTAATAATTAAATATGTGGCATGGCATGATAGTGCACTTCTTTAATCCCAGCACTTGGCAGGCAGAAGCAGGAGGGTCTGTGAGTTGAAGGCTAGCCTATTTATATATAGTAAGATAGCAAGACTTGCCTCAAAGATTAAAAGTAAAATGATATGGGGGGATGTTGGGGAGATAGCTTAGTGGATAAAATGCTCAGGATGTAAATGTGAAAGTAGAGTTTGGGTCCTTGGAACCCACTTAAAAGCTGGGCTGTAGGTGGGCGTGGTGCCTTCCTGTAATCCCAGCCACACCTGGCCCTCACTTTTATTTTTGAGAGCAGGTCTCACTGTAACCTGGGCTAGCCTCAGACTTTTGATCCTCCTGCTCAGCCTCCTGAGGGCTTACAGTGTGCTGCTGCTCCGGCCTCCCAGGGTCACTTTCCAGGCCGAGGCGTTTGTCTGCTCCTTCCCCTGCACTCCCTTCTCAACAGCTGCATCTGACCATTTTTATTGCTCAGATTTGGTCATGGCTGTGTTCTGTTCTGCTGATCACACTTACAAACTTCCTCACACAGGATGAGTCTTATAACGGTTTTGACTGTTGGTCCTCACATGCTTTCAGCATTTCTGCTGAGTAACACTCCATCCTGGCACAATCGTCTCACTTTTCTCTCACTGACTCTCTCTCTTTTTTTTTTTTTTTTTTTTGTTTCATCTCCCTGGCTTTCTGTACCATTTCTGTGCATTGAGGAGAGAAATAATATTTGTGTCTATTTTTATCCAGTGGAAAAACTGAGCTCCAAAGAGGAAAAGTGATTTACACGATGGTTTTTGTTATTTATTTATTTATTTATTTTTATTTACTTATTTATTTTGGTTTGGGGTTTTTTGCTTTTTTGCTTTTGGTTTTTTTGAGACGGGGTTTCCCTGTGTAGCTTTGGCTGTTCTGGACTTGCTTTGTAGATCAGGCTGTCCTCAAACTCAGAGAGATCCCCCTGCCTCTGCCTCCCCGAGTGCTGGGATTACAGGTGCTCACCACCACACCTCACACCTGGCTTTTGTTTTTGTGTTTTGAGGCAGCATCTCTTGTAACTCAGACTGGCCTTGTACTCACTGAGTAGTCAAGGATGGCCTTGAACTTCTGATCTTCTTGCCTCTACCTCGCAAGTCCTAAAGTTTCGGGGGTGCATCACCATACCCTGTTTTATGCAGTGCTGGGATCCATCCTAGGACTTTGAGCTTGCTAGGCAAGTGCTCTACCTGCTGAGCTGCACCTCAACCACTTCTCTGTGGTGTTGAAATAGCTGAGCCAGACCAGTTTCCTCAGTAAGTCTCTGTCACTGGGTGGGGGGGGGGGGTACATGTGACAGGAAAAGGGGATTGACAGGGTGACTAGGAGGCCCGTAGCAGGGGAAGTGTGAAGAGAAGGCTGCATGAAGCCACAGCCTCCCCCCCCACACTTATCCCGTTAGCAGCTGCTCTCTGCAGAAGAAGGTCTCTGCCCTAACTCTGTGCTCCCTGCAGGCCGCCCCCCCACCCCGAGGCACTCGCCCAGCTCCAGGGGGCTGCATCCAGCCCAGGGGCCCCATCGAGCAGGTGTACCAGGAGATCGCCATCCTCAAGAAGCTGGACCACCCCAACGTGGTGAAGCTGGTGGAGGTGAGGGGGGACAGTGAGACTGAGGGTCTGTCTAGCCCTGGCTTTGTTAATACCTAAACACCTTATTGCTAGGATCCGTAGAGAGTCAAGTCACAGTAGACAGTTGCTTTGAGGCTGAGGAACTTGCTGCCTCACACACCCTCACACTATTGTTTCATGTCTCTGTTACTTCCTCAAGACTGCCCACTTTACAGATGCACAAGTTCAGGCTGAGAGCTCCGAGGCTTGCCCTTTATCTACTTCTTTCTCTTTGAAGCTGGCTATTTCTCTACCTACACGCAGGTAGTTGGAGCACAGAAGTAGCTACACATGCAAAGAAGTGAAGTCCTGTGAGACAGCTCAGTGGGCAAAGGCACTTGATGGCTCAGAATGAAAGCCTGATGATCTGAGTTCAATCCCCAGAGCCCACATGGAGGTGGAAGGGGAGAATAGCCCCACAGAGTTTCCTCTGGCCTCCACATATGCGCTGTGGTGGTACAAACACACACAAGATACCAACAACAATAATAACTTAAGCAAACCAAAACAATAGTGCTGGGTCGAAGTGGTGCGCACATCTTTAATCCCAGCACTCAGAAGGCAGAGGAAGTCAGATCTTTCTGAGTTTGAGGCTGGCCTAGTAGATATAATGAATTACAGGCAAGCCAGGACTACGTAGCAAGACCTTGTCTCAAATACAGACAAACAAACCAGTAAGAAAGCATGACTGTGCCCCAGCAAACCTTCATGTGTAAACACTGGAGGAGCTGGAGTCAGCCCATACTATATTTAGCCAACCTTTGCTTCAGCTTACCAGTTCTCATGTTTTTTTGTCTGAAGATGACTTGATGTGCTTAAAAATTCTGGAAAACTTGTGTTAGCTTTTTAGTCATTGTAACAAATACCTAAGAAAACAACAGGAAGAAAGAATGATTTCAGCTCAAGGCTGTTTTCGGATCATGTTCAGTTGGTTTCATTATGTTGAGCCTGAGGCAAAGCAGAACTGTGGTAGCCAGGAAGAGGGTGTGGTGTGGACTACGATGCATGCCTGCATGTGTGTGCGCGCGTGTGTGTACAAGCATGTGTGTCTTGTGTCTGTGTGTCCCCCTGTGTGTATGTGTGTTTGTGCTTCTCTGTGTCTTGTGTGTGTCTGTGTGTCTCTGTGTGTCCCTCTGTGTGTCTGTGTGTGTTTGTCTTGTGTGTGTGTGTGTGTGTGTGTGTGTGTGTGTGTGTGTGTGTGTGTAGTTCTACCACTACCCAGAACAGGAGAGCAGCTGGGGCCTGGGCCTTCCACACATGAGCCTGTAGGGGACACATTGTTTTAACCTCAGCAGAGCTCAGTGTGCTGCTGTTCACACTGGCTACTTTTACTCCTACGAATCTCATTAAATTAAGCCAGAGCTAGACCTGGTGGTGCACGCCTGCAATCCTAGTGCTGGAGGTGGAAACAAGAAAAGCAGAAGGCCAGGTCAGCCCAGGTTACAAGCAGCCTGGTCTCCAAAAACAGACAGACAGACAAAGCCCCAAGTCAGAACCATAAATTGGCAAAATTTTAAATTATCAACTAATCGAAAAACACATACTGTACATGACTAGGAATAGTACATTTTTCTGCAGAGTAACTATTTTGCGTGTGTGAGTGCACGAGTGTATTTACGTAGGTGAATGTGTTTGTGTGCGCAAGCATGAGAACAGGAGTCAGTCTTAGGTGCCATTCCTCAGGGATGCCATCCTGTTGTTGAGACTGACCTGGAGTTCACCAACTAGGCTAGGCTGTCTGGCCAGCAATCCCCAGGGGCCACTGCCCCTCCTCAGCCCTGGGGTTATAAGCGTGTGCCACCATGTGTCACTGTTTTAGAAACGATTTTCTGTTGCTTGCCGATGCCGGAGCCGTCACGTCTGGAACTGGCGTGCAGGTGGTTGTGAGCTGTATGTGGGTGCTGAACTCCACTATGTGCTCCCATACCTGGAGACAGGGTTTCTCTGTGTAGCCCTGGCTGTCCTGGACTCACTTTGTAGACCAGGCTGGCCTCAAACTCACAGAGATGCCCCTGCCTCTGTCTCCTGAGTGCTGGGATTAAAGGCATGTGCCACTACTGCCTGGTTCAGGTATACGCTCTTCACCCCTGAGCGGTGTCTCTAGCCCTTACCAGCTCTTTTACATGGACTCTGGGGCCTGGACTGAAGTCCTTGTGTTTTTAAGGCAAGCAGTTCACTGACTGAGGCATCTATGCCTATCGCAGAATAACTGTTCCCTGTAAAAAAAAAAAAAAAAAAAAAAAAAGAAAAGGATGTATTTTTATGTTTGCTGCTGCTGTTGTTCTTGCTCTTCCTCTTTGTTAACTTTTGGCTTACTGAAAGGCATCTGGTTTCTATCTGCTTTGGCCTTCATCCTGCTGTGACACTGTTTTGTGCCTTCTCAGCACTGGAGACAATTAGAGAAAGAGTGGGAAAAGCCAGTATTGTCTTGGTCTTAAAGTGAAAATAGTTTTCATCTGGTAGAGCCCCCGAAGGTGATTTGGGGATTTCTGGGAGGTTCAGACGATCTGAAGCACCTCTGGTCAGGGTTGTCACCGACTGGTAAAGGACTTGTTAGCTATCTGACTTTGTGGAGAAGGTAATCTCTGCAGTGGCCCTTGCTGTGTCCTGGCTATCAGAGACAATAGAGAGGACATTGCAGGGGAAGGAGCAGAGTGTGGAAGGGCCCAGAGCCTCTAGTTTTTGGGAACATGCCCTTGCCTTTGAGAGATGGGAGGCTATTGCCACTCCTTGCCTGAGGGCCTGTGGGCACAGAACTCTAGGTGGCTCCTGGGTCTAACTTGTCCTCAGGGGAGGGCTCAAGGTTCCAGATGGACTGCTCAGCTCTGCCTGCAGTCTCGTGCATCTGGGTGGCTGGGGAAGGTAGGTGATGTGGAAGAGACAGGAGGCCTAGTCTAGCTGGGGTCCTGCCATGTCTCTTCCTGAGAGAGAGCTGCTATAAGCTGTTACTCTCTGTCCTGATTTCATGCTCTGTTCCTGATCTCAATTCCTGATGCTGGAGTTGCCCATTTTAGCAGAAGCCCAGGGAACAGTCTGAAAGTAGCACTGGATCCTAGTGGGATCTTTTCTCCCCAATATCCCGTGCATCTGATCTTTCCGCCCAACTCAGCGAGATTGCACAGCCATTCTGTTTGTTTACATATCAGTGTTTCTTCGGTACCTACTATGTGTCCAGTCAGTATTGAACATCACCAAGACAATCAAAGTGGACAAGCTTGGGACCTGCCCATTAGAGAGTGGCAAGAGCAGGCATGGAGAAATGTCCTGGTAGGGTTGGGAAGAGTGGATCTATTTTATTTTTTTATATAATTTATTTAATTTTTAGTGCGTTAGTGTGAAGGTGGCAGATCCCTTGGAATTGGCGTTACAAACAGTTGTAAGCTGTCATGTGGGTGCTGGGAATTGAACCCAGGTCCTTTGGAAGAGCAGACAGTACTCTTAACCACTGAGCCATCTCTCCAGCCCCGGGTCCACTCCCCCCCCCCCCGCCTGAGATAGGGTTTAATTGTGTAGCCTTGCCTGTCCTGAACTCGCTTTGCAGGCCAGGCTAGCCTTGAACTCACAGAGATCTGCCTACCTCTGCCTCCCTGAGAGCTGGGATTAAGGGTGTACTTCACCATGTCTGGCTGGGGTCCACTTCTTGAGTTCCAGTAGGGTTTAATTTTTATCCTGAAGCACAGGGCATGTCTCCTAGGAGATGGGCTGGACTGTCACTGAGGTGTGGGACATTTCTGGGGAGGGTTTCCTCTTCCCTGTTCTTCTCTTAAGGGTGTTGCAGCCCTCAAGAACAGGACAGAGTGTGACAGGCTATCACACTCTGGGATTGTCTGTCTTCTGTCTTGACTAGGAAAAAGGGTGGGAAGTGCACCGCCCTGTGGCCACACACCATCACATACACCTGCTTCCTCTTATACTTGTTCTTTCTCTTCTTGCTCCTGTCCCTGGGCGGCTGTGCCATCAGGTCCTGGATGACCCCAACGAGGACCATCTGTACATGGGTAAGATTGCTTTCCTCCATCCATACTGAGGAAGCTGTATGTGCCAGGGCCCAGGTGTCCTCTCTGGATAGCTGTGCCTCTGGAAACAGCAAGGACAGGTTCTTCTTTCCTGGTCTAGCTGGGCCCCATGGGAACCCACATACCTGGTTTAAAGCATGGCATGGGAGGGAGTTCTTGCTGGTACTTTAACATATACATCTCCTATGTGTTCACTTGCAGATCTTTATTGAGAACCTACTGTATATTCAGAACTGTTCTAGGCACTGAGGATAGCATGATAAGAAAGAGGAGAACTTACAGCTGCTCTCCCAGACAGGAAAGACAGTGTCGATTATTAAATAAGCAAGAAATGTAGATATTTTAAGGGTAAGTAATTAGGGTGATGTCAGGAAGAGTGGACAGACCACTTCACATAGGAGATGACCATTCAACTCCTGAGTGTCAAGGATTTGGCCATATTACATCTGGGGAAGGACATCTATCTAGGCAGAGGGAAGAACAGGCAGAAAGGCCCCAAGGCTTTAAGAACATACAAAATAAAACAAAAAGTTGGTGCTAGATAAGTAGGAAGAGGAGTCAGGGGTAAGAACGGTGAGTTTGAGAAGCCATGATGGGGACTTTTGAGCCTGGTGGAACACTCCAAGATGTGGGTACTACTTATAGACAGAAGTTGAGGTGTGTCGTCAGGAATGGTGGCATATACCTTTAATTCTGGCACTCAGGAGGCAGAGGCAGAAGGATCTATCTCTTTGAGTTCGAAACCAGCCTGGTCTACATAGCAAGTTTCAGGCCAGCCAGAGGCTACATAGTGAGACCTATCTCAAAAAGGAAGGGGGGAAATTAGGAACTCAAGTCAATTTAAAAAAAAAAAAAAAAAAACATGAGGGACCCAGGGGCAGTGGTGCACACCTGTAATTATACCACTCAGGAGAAAGAGGCAGGTAGATCTCTGCGTGTTTGAGGCCGGCCTGGTCTACAAAGCGAGTCCAGGACAGCCAGGGCTGTACAGGGAAACCCTCTCTCAGAAAAAGAAAGGAGAAAACATGAGGGAATATAACTCAGTGGTATTGTGCTTGCCTCAGGTATGCAAGGTCTGGGTTCAGTCCCCAGCATTGTACGTGCATGTGTGTGTGTGTGTGTGTGTTCATTCATTTGTTCCTGAGCCTCAAACCCAGGGCCTGATGAATGCTAGGCAAGTACTATGTCATTTATCTCTATCCTAAGCCCTCCTTTTACTTTTTTGAGACAGGAGCTCACTGAGTTGGCCGGGCTAGCCTTGAACTCACTTTGTAGCCTAGGTTTTGAATTTGTAGTCCGCCTGCCTCAGCCTCCTAAATAGCGGGGATTATAGGCCTGCACCACTTGGTACAGCTTTCCTTGGCTACTTTGAATACTAGAAATAAAGTCCAGGTTAGGTCCTGAGGATACCGGGAGGGCTTTGCCTCCTAAGTGGAACTTAGTATCACTGAGCAGCTTTGGTTCTGTAGACCGAGTGTGTGTGTCTCAGCCCTCCCTGGAGGTGGGTGGATGAGAGGGAGATGGCTTTACAGTGTCCCAACATGACAGTTTTCCCTCTTTGTCTTCCCCACAGTGTTTGAACTGGTCAACCAAGGGTGAGTGTTTGACTCCCAGGAGCAATGTCAGCCTTCTTCACTTAAAAGCTGAGCAGGGGTGGGAATGGAGAGGTTGGGGGTGGGGAGGGTGGCCAGGCCCTGAGGGAGAGAGTGGGTCAGGGCTAGCTGGATCTGGATTACATGGTTGTGCCACTGTCTGTCGCCCTTCCAGGCCTGTGATGGAAGTGCCCACCCTCAAGCCACTGTCTGAAGACCAGGCCCGGTTCTACTTCCAGGATCTGATCAAAGGCATTGAGTACCGTAAGCCACGTGGTGGGAAGCTGCTCCTCTGAGTACTCAGTGTCACAGCCCACTGGTGGAAAGGGAAGGGATCTCAGTTCCTGGCTGTAGCACAACAAGTGGGCAGGGACACAGGACTATGTGTCTGCAGAGCCTTCCACAGCCCAGGGAATTGCCTGGGGCTGCCCCTTCCCCCTGCTACAGAGAAAAACTGAAAAACAGTGGGGGAGTGAACTTTTGTAGAAGCCGGCACATATGTGCTCATTCGTGTGGAGGCCAGAGGACAACCTCAGTGCTTTCCTTAGGAGCACTCTGCCTTGTTTCAACATTTCAGTTTATTTTTATGATGAGAACAACCCTTCCTATTAGTATATGGTGATAGACTATAGAGAAAGAACTTTTTTTTTTTTGAGACAGCATCCTTCATTGGCCTGGAGCTCACCAAGCAGTCCAAGATGGCCAGTAAGGCTACATGACCCATTCATCTCTACTTCCCTATCACTGGAATTTCAAGGGCACACCACTATGCTCAGCTTTTATTTTATTTTTTTCTCCAAATGGGTCTGGGGACCAAACTCAGATCCTTGTGCCCTCGAGCACTTCCCTGAGCCATCTCCCTAGCCCACTAGTGAGCTTTGAAAAGTTAGCACTTTCTGTGTAGACCAGGCACAGGGAGGCCTCTGTTTGCATAATCTTCTCTCCATGCAGCAGTCTGGAATGGGGATACTCTTAGCTCCTGGCATCCTCATCTGTGAGATAGCCTCTCACCAGGGCTGGGAGCAGCCTGTGGCCGACAGTGCTTCTGTTGGGCTCCTGTTGGCCATTGTGACTTTTACTCCTATCACAGGGGACAGTTGTGACTTTTTGTTTTGTTTTGTTGTTAGACAGGGTTTCTCTGTGTAGCCTTGACTATCCTGGAATTCACTTCGTAGACCAGGCTGGCCTCAAACTCACAGAGGTCTGCCTACCTCTGCCTTCCAAGTGCTGGGACTAAAGGTGTTCGCCACTGCCACCTGGCTTGGTTTTGACCTTGAATAGGGATAAATGTGCACCGTGTATCATAGAGTGAAGCCCTGAAGGATTGCTCTTTTGACATCACCACATTCATCATAACCCCAAGATTTGGCGCGTGGGATTTCCAGACCATAGTATTGACTGATGCTTGTGTCCACTGAGAGGCTAAGTCCCCAGTTCTGTGCTGTGGCTCTGCCTTAGGTTGGCTTGCTGGCCATAATGAGTGGTAGCTGTTGACAAATGAAACTGTTTTACTTTCACAAGTCTCAGTGTGCCTGTCTGGAAGCCTAACTCAACAAAAACTATTTATAGGCTGTGATAGGTGGTTAGAAATTGCTATAGACAGTTGGTGTTTTGCGAATGGGGTGAACGTCCTTAAACACACTTTCCCTTTATCTTCCAGAGCATGTTTGGGAAGGGCATTTGGGGCTCGGGAGATGAGGCCTCTGGAGCATGCTGGGCCACACAGCCAAGTGAAAATTCTCACAGGATTTTCCTGCCTCCTCTTCATCTAGTACACTACCAGAAGATCATCCACCGGGACATCAAACCTTCCAACCTCCTGGTGGGAGAAGACGGGCACATCAAGATAGCTGACTTCGGTGTGAGCAACGAGTTCAAGGGCAGTGACGCCTTGCTCTCTAACACTGTGGGCACGCCTGCCTTCATGGCACCCGAGTCACTCTCAGAGACCCGAAAGATCTTCTCCGGGAAGGTAGGTTTGGGTCTGCCGAGTTCTGCCTGGATCGGGGTTCCCTGGTTCTAAGTAGCAAAAATCCAACACAAGAGACACACAGTTTGCAAGCGCACTGTGACTAGGAACTGATGACTAGGAACAGCCAGATCCAGGAGCTCACACAAGGAGCAGTATCTTCCCAGCCTTGTCTCTCTTCTTTTGGACTGGTTTCCCTGAAACCAGTTAGCACCTCTTGGCTACTTTCCGCGAGGTAACCAACTTCAGTAGCTGGACTTTGCTCACTGAACAGAAACGGCAAAAACCACTATGGCTAGGAGAACTTGGGCTTTCATTGGCCAGTGTGTCATGTCCCAACCAATGAGGCTCGGAGACAGTTTGCTCCACCCCAAGGGTATGGAATGAGAAAAGGTGGTTTAGTCAGGGAGGGTGAACCTGGAAAAACGGGTATCCATTACACTGAACGTTTTTTCTTGCAGGCCCTGGACGTTTGGGCCATGGGTGTGACGCTGTACTGCTTTGTCTTTGGCCAGGTAAGAGGGCGCCATGTCTAACCTTCTGAGTGCTGGGTGTGGCTGGTCGCCTTGCAAAGAGACAGTTCTTATTTGGAAATCATATCTCCACAGCCGAATAAATAGATAAGACGTATGCTTTGTAATATACATATCTCTGATGATGTTCTCATCTGTACAGAATGGTCAAAAGAAACAGAAGAATCAACAGGGACTGTGGAGATTGGAGATACTTGATGAGTTTAGGGCAAGGACAACAAATATACCACCTTTCTCCACCCCTGAGCCAGAGACAGACATTACTAATCTATCACTGCATTCCTTGCAGCTTTGCTATGCACTGGTTTGATGTTCTCTTCATCAGTGTTCCTAGCTGCAAATGCCAAGGATAGAATGGAATTGGGAACCATAGTTTGGAAGGGCATTATTGATTTAGGGAGTATTTTTGTTTTGGGGTTTGTTTTATTCGTTTGTTTTGTTTTTTTCAAGACAGTTTCTCTGTGTAGCCATAGCTATACTTTGTAGACCTGGAACTCACTTTGTAGACCAGACTGGCCTCAAACTCACAGAGATCCACCTATCTCTGCCTCTCAAGTGCTGGGATTAAAGGCTTGTGCCACCATGCAAGGCACCTCTTTTAACTGTTAAGTTCAGTTTGATTCTCTGAGCAATAAAACCGTGGTTACGTCCCTTTTTGAGCTTGTTCTCCTGTGGAGGAAAGCTTAAGGATCTTGTTTCAAAGCCTCACATAGTAACACATACCTTTAATCCCAGTACTTTGAAAGCAGAGATAGATGGATCTCTGAGTTTTGAGGCCAGCCGGGTCTACAGACTTCCAGGACCACCATGCTAAACAGAGAAACTCTGTCTCGAAAAAGAGAAAGAGAGACAGAGAGAGAAAGAGAGAGGGAAAGGAAAAAGTTAATTTTGTTCCATGTAGAAGCAAGGAAGTTTTCTTTTTAAAATAACCTTTTCCTTAATATTTGTTTAGAAAATTTTTCCTGGGGTTAGTGAAATGGCCTAGAAGTTAGGAGCACTGGCTGCTCTTGCAAAGAACCCAGTTTGGTTCCCAACACCAAACATAGCTGCTCACAGTGGGCTGAAACCTGAGTTACAGAGTATCTCACTCCCTCTACTGGCCTCCAAGGGCGCTACAAGCAAGCTCTCATATCTATAAAATAAAAAGTATATCCTTAGAACCATTTTCAGTTCAACATAAAGTTGAGTGACTTCAGTAGTAAAAAGCCATACCCCTGCCACCTGGAATCTACTATTGTATTATAGTATCCATATATCTATTTATCATCACTCCTACCTTTCAGTGGCAATCCATCAGAGCCTTGTACATAACCATGCACCGTTTGTACCGTTGTGTTACACCGTAGCCCAATACTTACATTTCACAACCCCTAAGAGGAGAGACCGAACCAGTTTGACTTTTCATGTGCCAGGGACTTCCCGAGAAAGCCAGCCAGGAAGCCCTGAGCTGGTAGAGTGGAGGCCCCAGTGGAAAGGCGTTATCAGTAAGTGACTGTAATGTCAGGGCTAGAAGCCCAGCTAGGGGGTGATGAAGTAGGCCCATCTGCTCTGCAGGGGAGGCCACTCATGGGTAGCTTTGGTCAGACATGACGGGAGAGAACAAGCCATGCAGGTGATGATGGGAAGATCGTGGCAGGTAAAGGGCACCATGGACTGACTGTCAGTCACAAAGTCTCCTTTGGCTCCTGCTCAGGCTAAACCCCGGCTCGCGTGCACGCACGCGCGCGTACACACACACACACACACACACACACACACACAGGTGTGCCCTATGCTCAGCTTCCAGTGGCTCTCTGGTAGGTGGGTATTTGCTTCTGTGTCGGGAGGAGACTGAGGGCAGCAACAAAGCAGGTCAGTAGTATGGTTGATGAGCATGGAGGCCAGCTAGACATTCCTGCCCTCCACTGATGGGGGTGAAGTGAAGAGAATGGTTCCTGCTTCCTCCCCAGCCTGGGCCACCGCTGTGGTCTCTGAGAAACGGCACAGCTCAGATGGCCTCTGAAGGGTACAGGTGGCAGCCACTGACTACCACACTCTCCGGCCTCTCCACAGTGCCCTTTCATGGATGAGCGAATCATGTGTTTACACAGTAAGATCAAGAGTCAGGCCCTGGAGTTTCCAGACCAGTGAGTAATGCCTGTCTGTCCGCCGTCACCTCCTTCTGATTCCTTAGCAGTCAAGTTCCTGAGTTTTCTGTGGCCTACCCATGACGTGTCTCCACCCCCCAGGCCCGATATAGCCGAAGACTTGAAAGATCTGATCACCCGCATGTTGGACAAGAATCCAGAGTCCAGGATTGTGGTGCCCGAAATCAAGGTACTTGGCTGCTGCTAAGAGGGCTAGTACTCAAGGTCTTGGAGTTTGCTTGGAGATGTTTGGCTCAGCCCTACCCACAGCACCGCACCCTCTTGGCACCACAGCCTCCCCATGTCCTGGAGCCTCTGGGCTGCTGGGGACTGCTGAGGGCAGGGAATTGTTGATGGCTGTGTCCACTGTGATGTGGGACTCACCCCCTGGGCTGCCTGCGCTTGCTCCCATTAGCTTGTGCTGGTGGTGTCATCCTTCGGAGGGTGATCTGGGGCCTCCGTATGCCCCACACTCTGGGCTGCTGAACTTCAAGTCCTTTCTTTGGCTTTGTCAAATTGAGGAAGTGCAGAGAGAGTGGGGGGAAGTTAGCAGGCATTTCAGCCTCTCCCTGCTGACCTCTACCCTGGAGTAGAAAGTGCTTTCAGCAGAGACCTTGCCCATCACCCTCCATGCCCCTGCCAATGCTAAGTATACACATCTGACCCTTAAAAAAAAAATCTTAAGATGGGGCTGGGGATGTTGTTCAGTTGCTAAACAATGGACTGGTGTGATGAAGCCCTGCGTTTTCTCTCTCGCACCCTATAAATTGCACTCAGTGGGTGCATGCCTATACTCATAGCACAAGGGTTGAGGACAGAGGCAGTATCAGAAGTCCAAGGTCCTCCTTGGCTTTGTACTGAGTTAGAGGCCAGTCTGACTGTGTGAGACCATGTCTTTAGAAAGAGAGAAAGAGGGCTGAAGAGATGGCTCAGAGGTTAAGAGCACTGTCTGCTTCCAGAGGTCCTGAGTTCAATTTCCAGCACCCACACGGTGGCTCACAACTATCTATACTGGGATCTGATGCCCGTTTTTGGCATGCAAGTGTATATGCAGATAGGGCATTAAATAAATAAATAAATCTAAAAAAAGAAAGAAAGAAATCTGAGGCATGCTTCAGCATTTCTGAGGTTCCTGGCTCCCTTGAACTGGATGGATGTCTTTAAGAGGCTCCAAAAGTTAAAGATAAGGACTTGGACCCCAGAGAGGGGTCCTGGTTCCACTTCTGAGTGTGCCCTTCCATCTGACTCCACGTTTCTCCTTTCTCTGTGGACTGAGAAAACACGCTTTTTCAGAGCAGAGCCTCTGTTGTCAGGGTGAATTGTTGGGGTCTGGTGGGTGCTCCTGGGGCAACTTGGCAAAGCTGATGCCAAATTCCGGTTGTTCTTGTTGTAACCCGGGGCCAGATGGAGAACCGTCTCTGCACATTTCACAGCTCTGCAGCACCTCCCATTCTCCATCTCTGCTTTTTCTCATTTCCTCCCATCTCACTCACCCACCCTCTGCCTGGGTCACTAGCTCTCCTGCATGCCAGACTTCAGGCCCTGGTCTCTCCCTCCTGCATGCTCTCCTTGGCTCTGCTCACTGGCAGGGCCTTGTGGGAACCAGCGGCGCCTGTCCCTCACCCCTCCTGTCATTCGTTGAAGCTGCACCCTTGGGTCACGAGGCACGGGGCCGAGCCATTGCCATCCGAAGACGAGAACTGCACACTGGTCGAGGTGACCGAAGAGGAGGTCGAGAATTCAGTCAAACACATTCCCAGCCTCGCAACTGTGGTAAGGCGGAAAGGCCCATTGTCCGAGAGAGAGAACTGAGAGAGCCTGAGGCAGGCTAGCAGCGCAGGGCTGGACACAGGCCAGATGCCTGAGAAGCAAGCAGGTGTGGGATCAGAGTCAGGATCCTGTTGCAGGCGACTCCTGAATCAAAGCCACTCATTGGGCCAGGTAACCCCGGGGCTCCCATTCTGTCCCCTGCAGGCATCACACTGCTTTTCTAGAATCCCCTCTCTCAGAGCATGTTAGGGGAGAGGAGCCGGAAAGGTGAGGACAACCAGGCCAGAGTCAGCAATAGACCTGGAGCCTAAGCATCCAATGGGTGCTGGTCAAGTTTTCAGTCTCCAGAGCAACTTGCATGTCTGACATTGGCCATGTGGGAGGTGCTTAGGGCCTGGGCCTCCTACCCCACTGCAGAACGTTTTCTCCCAATCTTAAAATACAGAGTTGTGCTAGGGAGACCCTTGGCTCCTTGGCTCCTTTGTGTGGCCTTGAATCTTGGTCCTGGCTCTCTCTGAGAAAAGGAAGCTTGAAAGAGCAGTCTTCAAGCCTCAACTTCAAGACTGTAGGAGCTACCCCATTGCCAGCACCCTAGGAAGGTTCCCGGCTCCCGGAGGGAGATGGGAGGTCCTGGGGTTCAGGTTCCAAGCAACCATAGCCTTCTCAGAAGCCCAGGTTATGTTTGTCTGGCCCCCAGCCCCAGTCTCAGCAGACAAGCAGCCCCCCAGTTGCCACCACCCCCCGGCTCTGCAAAGCTAGCACCAGGCTCAAGGGTCCCTTTGGGAATCTGAGAGTTGGCTCCTGCGCCTTTTGCTTGCTGCTCTCTTGCTTACCCCACACTGTCTCTTGCCTCCTTCAGGACTTGAGCTCTAGGGCCGGGCACTCATCCATGTTTCTTCTTCCACCTGGGGCTCTGCATGACTGCCACTCGTGTAGACTCACCCACGCCCACTCACCTTTCCGAGTGCACTCTTCACCCACTCACCCATTCTGTGCCTATGGTGGGAGAGGAAGCTGGGTCCCACTCTGTGCCACTGTGTGTGGTTCTGTCCCCCTGAACTCTCTTGGGGGAAAGCATGTGGCCTGGGGGCTCTGTAATAGGTATTTTTCGCTGAGAAATGCGTCTTGAACCATTTGTAAGTGGTTCCTCAGGGAAGGGAACATCTGTAAGCCCAGCCCACATGTTCCCCGCCTTCCTTGGGAGGGCACACCAAGGGTTATGTCTGGTGCAGTAGAGGGGCTGCAGGCCATGTCCCTGGTGGAGGGACACGAGGCTCTAACATGGGTCAAAGGGGCCTTCCCTTTAGTGGATAAAGGGGCTAGAGAAAGGGCTCAGTGATCAAGAGCATTTACTGTTCTTCCGGAGGACCCGGTGTTGAGTCCCAGTACCCACAGCTCACTGTTGTCTGTAACTCCAGCTCTGAGGACATAAAACCTCTCCTGGCCCCTTCAGGCACTAGGCATGCAAGTGGTGCATACACATTCATGCAGGTAAAACAGTCAGCCACATAATAGAAACATTAGAAAAAGAGAACAGAAATGGAAGAACACAGAATGGCAGGGTGTAACCTCCTGAGAGGGAGCAAAGCAACAGGAAGCGGAGCAAGAAGAAACTTCCAGAAAGCCCCCATTGCTGAAGGCTAAGGGAGGGGCCTGCAGGGTGGAGATCGGGAAGAACTGGAGCAGGGAGGGGTGGCAAGTGCTGAAAAGGGTCCATGTGGAAGGTGTGAGGTCTAACCCTCTCTTATGTTCCTGTCATTCATCAAATAACAAATGCCTCGCACATGCCAGGCTTGAGATGGAAAACATGAGCTGGCACCAGTTCTTGAGGCTCCAACCTTGTGAAAAAGATGGACCCAGAAAGCAGCCTTCCCGTGGGATCAGAGACCAGAGAAGGGTGCAGGAGGGGAGGCTGACAGAAAAAGGAGCCAGGGAACAACACTTACCAAAGCTCAGAGGGGAGGGCCTGGTTCGTCCCCAAACCTACTGGCACTTTGCTGTGCTGGGATCTGTCAGTCGCTGGAAGAGCTACCCTGGGGATGTGTCTTTTATTCTCAAGTGGCTTTTCTTGCCTTTGACCGGTTAAAAGTAAACTATTTGTTGGCACGTGGGCCACGTACAGTGTGGTACAGTCATCTGCTGCTGAACTGTTTTCATCATATCCTAAGAAACCCCAGTTCCCCGTTCCTCCTCCCCATCATCGTCGTAGTGATGTCCGGGCTTCATTCCTCTAGTAACTGAAAAATCTACTGTACAAATGTGCCACCATTTTAAAATTTTCCAGATGATGTAATTTGAGTATTTCTACCTTTTTTTTAAGTCAATGCTTTTTGTTCTTTAGGTTTAACTATTTTTTAAAATCTAGTTATTTGCATATGCGTGTGTGATTGTATATGGCTTCACGATTGTGCACACATGGAGACCAGGCAGGGCATTGGACCTCTTGGAGCTGGAGTTAGAGGCATGGTTGGGGTGCCGCACAAGCCCAGCAACCTGAGTTCAGAGCCCCAGAGCCAATGTAAAAAGTCAGACTAATCTTAGCACACTCTCACTAGGAGATGTGAGACAGACAGGAGAATCATGTGGTAACTCCTTTGCCAGCTAGCCTGGGCTACACAACAGCGAGCAGCTAGAGACATTCTCAAATAAGGTGGAAGGAGAGGCCTAAAGGGGGTTGTCCCCCCGCCCCCTTCCCCCCTTGGGTGTATCCCCCCCCCCCCCCATTCTAATCTGAAAACTTTTAGAGGCTGGAAAGATGGCTTAGTAATTAAGAGCACTGGTTGTTCTTCTGGAAGACCTGGGTTCATTTCCCAGCACAATCATGACAGCTCACAATGGTCTGTTACTCCATTGCCCTCTTCTGGTCTGCAGACACCAGGCATGCGTGTGTACAGACATACATGCACATGAAAAAGAATAAAAACTAAAATAAAAACTTCTTAGCCAGGTATTGTAGCTCAGGCTTGTAATCCCAGTGCTCAGTAGGCAGAGACAGGCCTGATCTACAAAGCGAGTCCAGGACAGCCAAGGCTACACAGAGAAACCCTGTCTTGAAAAAAACAAAAAACAAAACAAAACTGGTCAGGGGCTGGTGAGATGGCTCGGTGATTAAGAAGACTTACTACTCTTACAGAGGACCCCAGCACCCACACGGCTATTCACAACTTCATTCCCATGAGGATGCCTTTTCTCATCTCCAGGCAGGTACACAATGCACATTCATATATGCAGGCAAGGCATTCATACACATAAAATGTTTTAAAATTTAAAAATTACACAGCTGGGTGCACACCTGTAATCCCAGCACTTAGGGAGGCAGAAGCAGGCAGATCTTTGTGAGTTTGAGGCCAGCCTGGTCTACAAGTGAGTCCAGGACAGCAAGGCTACACAGAGAAATTCTGTCACATGAAAAAAGAAACAAGAAAGAGAGAGAGAGAGAGAGAGAGAGAGAGAGAGAGAGAGAAAGAAAGAAAGAAAGAAAGAAAGAAAGAAAGAAAGAAAGAAAGAAAGAA